GCCGGGGGCGTGTGTATGGGCAACCACCCTACGTGAGGATCCGTGGAGATGTTTGGGGGGCCACCTGGAGCTGTGAGCCAACCTAGCTGACACTGGAGTGGGACCCTCCTAGGCCTCTTTTGAACGTGTATCTTTTGTGAATTTTATCTTGTTTGTCTAGTTTTTAGGAGTAGATCTCTATGGAAAGAAGGCAGATCAGAATCCACCCCCGCCCCGCAACCAGGGGCTGGCCCGGTGGCGCAGTGGTTAAGTGCGTGTGCTCCGCTTCAGCAGCCCAGGGTTCACAGGTTCGGATCCCGGGCGCACCGATGCACCACTTGTCAAGCCATGCTGTGGCAGCGTCCTATATAAAGTAGAGGAAGATGGGCACGGATGTTAGCCCAGGGCCAATCTTATTCAGCAAAAAAAAAAATCCACCCCCCATCTGCTCACCCAGGCCCTTCTGGCTATGCCCACGCAGCACGTTACAGAGGATACACGCTGTCTGAATGCAGCCCAGGCTCTCAGCGCGGGATCCCGGCCGAGGGGGCGTGAAGTGAGCATGGCTCCAGCCACCTGAAGCCAGTTCACGGCTTCCCACAACCCCAGCCCACCCTCGGCACCTCCTTTCCCTTCTGGGGCCTTAAGGCCTTCTTCCCACCATCGCCTCTGCCCTCCAAACGGGACCAAACCAGGCTTGGTGGCCTAGACTCCACCTTCAGCCACTTCCCGGATCCCCAGCTCTCACTGTCCTGGCTTCTGTCGTGGCACTGCCTCCCAGCTCTCCTGGAGCCATCCGCCCGCCACACACGCTGGCACCCACGTGCCTGCCGCCTACCCACCCCAACCTCAGGCCTCTTCCAGCACCTCTTTCCTTGGAGCTGAGCCTCTAAGCCCAGAGAGGGAGTAGGCAGGGCCAGCTCTCTGGGTCCTGCCCACCCACTGAGGCCTGCATGCCCACCTTGGACAATGCAGCCCCCAGACAAGGGCATACTGGCTTCTCTTCAAGCCCTCTGTCCACAGAAGTGCATCCCCTAAACTCCCTTCCTCAGGGCCCAGGCATGCTCTCCGGGGCCCGGCAGCACTTCTCAAGGCCTGGAACGGAACCACATTGGGCCACACTGAAAGGCACCGGCAGACGGGCCTGGGTGAGCTCAGAAGTAGGGAGGGGGTACCCCCAAAGATGATATTAGGAAGGAGCAATTAGAGGTTGCTGTCGGCAGTTAACCTCAGGAAGGGAGGGGTGGAGTGGTGATGCTGGCATGTTAACAAGGGAGTTGGTCTGTGGCCAGCGCCCCCAGCCAAGGCCAAGAGCAGCCATGGGGTCCTGAAGGATCCGGGGTTTCCTGCCTGCCCCTCCTCCATCTGGCTGTGTTCGAGTCAGGCCAGGGAATGTCCGCCCAGAGCCTCGGCACCAAGGGCTGGCAGCGGCTCCCTGCAGGGTTGTTCTGGGCGGCTCGGGGTCCTGGAGAGTAGCTTGCAGCTTCTGGAGACTCAGGGCCGGGACTAGGAGAGGGAGGTCACGTCCACTGTCCACGTCCACCACGTGCCGAAGGCTTGGGGTTCTCTCCCAACAGTGGCGGGAAGCCTTGGAAGGTTTTGGGGGGTAGGAGAGTGTAACATAATCTCATTTGTAACCACTAATCAAAAAGGGGGTTTAAAATGATAGGCCTGGAGACCTGGGGGTGTAATTTGTCCCATTTGACGAATGAGGCATGGGGCATGAGGGGCTTCCGTGGAAGCAGGAGAAAGGTCTCAGCAGAAACAAGGGGCTGTCAGCACCCATGGGTAGTTACCAGAGGGGAGGTGGAAGGAGAGGGGAGACACAAGGACTGGCTGGACCAGTTGAGGCCGCAGTGAGCCTGAGGAGGCCTTGCCCCTGTGCTGAAGGCCACCACTGGAACTTGAGTCCTGAGCTGCCCCCCTTCTCAGCCCCAGGGAAGGCTCTGGAGAGCCAGAGCAAGCATGGGCTCGGTGGCCCCTTTCTCAGGAGTACACCCATGTCCCCAGCCCTTCCGACAGCCCTCAGAGGCCCAGGCAGCGTGTGCTTAGGGTCACCCTGATAACCAGGTGCAGCCTGCCTGCTCCCCAGAGCCAGGCAGCCTGCAGGCCAACTTGGATGGGAGCTGGGCAGCGGCTCCGAGCCGCCAGAGAGCTGGGACCAGCACTGCCCCTGTGCAGTCAAAGAGCTCTGGGAGCCCCCGAGACAGAGACAGGAGACTGGCCCATGTCTACCTCGGACGCTAGTCCACAAGACCCTCCCAGGCTCAAAGGTCATTACAGCCACCCAGAAGGTGACAGGGAAGACCACCCACCCATGGGAAGTGCAGGGCCACACCCCCTGGGCACTATCAGACCCCGGAGGAAGCTATGCCTGGGAGGGAGGAGCTGGAAGGGCTCCAATCCTACTCCCAGGTCCATAGCTGGGAGGCCTTAGGCGTCTCGCTGAACCTTCCTGAGAGTCAGAGCTGGACCAGCAGCATGTGGGAGGAAGTCCTGTGCCCAAATCATTTCCCTGAAGCCAATTCAGAACCCAGTGCAGAGAGAGAATCCCCTGCTGGGCAGAAAGAGAAGAGCAGAGCGCGGGTGGGGGCTGCGCTTCTGCAAACCCATCACTGGTCTGAGCGAGGGCCCAGCTCGGGTCAGTCAGGCAGGAGACCAACCACATCTTGGTCATGGGGAGTGTCCTAGGGGCAGACAGGCCTGATACATCCAGCTTCGTGCCTAAGCCAGGACTGCCCCTGCCCTGGAGGTCTGCCCTGGAAAAACCAGCCACCTCCTCAGGAAGGGTCTGGGGGGAGAGGGACAGAAACCTGAGACCAGGAGGCCAACTGTCCTGTCTTCCCAGCCTCTTCTCTCCCTTGGCTCAGAAAGTCTGGCTCCAGGCAGGTGGACAGGTCTTCCCTGGGCCTGTGCTCCCCGTGTACAGTGGGAACCACCTGCCTGGTGTGCGGCCAGCGTCACAGGGAGCTTGGGTCTCCCAAGCAGAGGGTCTTGGGGCCTGGGCTGGCTGGCCCTTCTCCCTAAGCCTCACTTTCTCTGGTAACCCCCCAGGCAGCAGCTCAGGTCACACCCATGGATTCCCTGGGAGAGCTAGGCCCCTGTGCTGTGGAGAGGGACCCCTCAGTATCACAGTGGTCAGAGTCCTGATCCTGCCCCTTCCCAGTGGCCATTGCCCTCCAAAAGCAAACCAAGTGAGCAGGATGGAGCTGCCCAGAGGTCAGGGCCTGCACGTTTAGTTCTGAAAAGACGTGGGCTGTGAGACTGTGTGAGGAGGGATTGGTCTGGGGATGGAGAAGTGAAGATGCAGGCATTTTCCTGATGAGGGAGAAGCAGCCGTGGCCACAGGGAGCAGAGAGGAGCATGAAGCGTCCAGGGCCCCACATCCTCGCCCCTTGAGGATCCGAGCTCAGAAGCCAGGCGGCAGGGGGAGAGCAGGGCCTGGCCCCAGGATTGGGTCGGAGGGCAGCAGGAGGGAGGCCAATGGGTATATGACCCCAGGGAGGCGGCAGGGAAAAGAGCAATGGTTCCAGGTGCCTTGAGATGCCAGCAGGACAGAAAAACCGTACAGTGAGAGAAGGGGCCCAAGCTGAAGGCCAGGGACCTGCAGCCCAGGGCGCTGGAGACACTGCCTAGGACAGGAGGACGCCGGCAAGCCCATGGCATGCACCATGGGTGCGTGCTTTCCAAAGCACACTAGTTTTCCCAGTCCTCTGGCTCCATGCCAGCCCTGGCACAGGCCCGGTCTATGGCCCCATTCTGTCCCTTCGGAGGCTGTGCAGCTGACCAGCTGGCCCGTCTCCATCCTCAGGTCTTGCCTGGGCCAGTCCCCGCCATCCAACACACCCCATCTGTGCTGAGCGCGTGGGGCCCTGTGCCGGGCGGGCCCTCCAGGCCCAGGCTGGTGGGCTCAGTGACACTGGGCAGATGGTGTTTGCGTCCTCCACGTGTGTCTCACACGTGTGAGAGGCTGGTGCCCTGGGCAGTACTCCCTCCCAGTGCAGGTGGGCCCTCCCGGGGCTCAGGAGACCCTGTCAGGCCGGCCGGTGAGGGAGAGCCACTCCTGCACTTGCATCTTACAACTGCTGTTTAATAACATCTCTTTTGTTTTGTTACAAAAGAAATACATTCTTAATTCAAAACCTTGGAAAGTAGAGAAAGCTCTAAAAAAGAAAATCACCTACAATGCTCTAGTGCAAAGACAGTCGCTGCCAATATTTTGGAACGGCTGCCCTGGCGTGTCGGCCTGTGTCTGTGACACGGGGTGCGGCTCCCGGGTCCTTGGCCTGTGCCTGGCCACGTGTGTCGGGGCTGCTGGACGGTTAGAGGTGCCTGGCGAGCATGGTCAGTGGGCAGAGGGTGGTTGACAACCAGGGAAGTGCCTGGGAAGTGCCTTGAGTCAACCATTAACCTCAGCACCCTCTGTGGGACCCATTACGAAATGGTCAGGATGGGAGATGGCATTTTCAGGGCCAAATGTCCTGAGTGCCCAGTGGAGGGGCAGGCCTAGGCCCTGCAGAGCATCTGGAGAGCACGTGCCTACAACGACCTCTGTGCCAGGACACCAGGGCCAGGACCCCAAGGCACAGCTGCTGCCATTGAGTAGTCACTGCAGGAGGACCTCTGGCCTGCACAGGCTCCCATAAAGGGAGCCAGGGTGTGAGGTCTCTCATTCCTGCGGGCAAGAAGCACACTCCTCACACACAGTGAACCCAGCTTTCTTTTTTTTTGTTTTAATAATTTTATGTATTTATTTATTTATTTTCCCCCAAAGCCCCAGTAGATAGTTGTATGTCATAGCTGCACATCCCTCTAGTTGCTGTATGTGGGACGCGGCCTCAGCATGGCCAGAGAAGCGGTGCGCCGGTGCGCGCCCGGGAACCGAACCCGGGCTGCCAGCAGCGGAGCGCGCGCACTTAACCGCTAAGCCACGAGGCCGGCCCTGAACCCAGCTTTCTAAGCACCTGGTTTTCTTCCCCGTAAGGTAACACACCTTTCTCTTGTTTCTCTTCTCACAGTACCTCCAGCAGCCAAGAGTGTCCAGCACTCTGACAGGAGCCCCATCAAGATGCCGGCAGCCTTTGCCATTGAAGGGATGAAGATGGAAACCCAGGCAAAGACCAAGCCTTCCAGGGCTCACCCTGTAAAACCTAAAGGCTGCCAGTGGCCCCCCAAGATCCGTAACTACAACTTCAAGGACTGACTTCTTCGGCTGCCCCTGCCCCTCCCCACCCTCTTCTCTCTCCGCACCCCCTTCCTCTCCTCCTTTCTTCCCCCTCCCCCTCCTTCCTCCTTCTCTTTTCCTCCATCCTTGTCCCCTCTCCTCCCTCTTCCCCTCCTTCGGCTCTTCCCATCCCCTCTCCCTCCTCTCCCTCCTCCTTGGTGCTTGGGGCCTGGGCTTTTATCTCCACATCAGAGGGGGCATGTGCTTGTACACATGTGCGTGTGTCTGCACAAGAGTGTGAGTGGGGCAGTGAGCTGCAGAGCAGGCTCCCCAATGCTGCTGAGGCGCCTCACTGACAGACCGCTGAGCCCATTAAAGCCAGTGCCTCCTGTGCAGTGCTTGGCCAGGGGAGCTCTTTTCCTGTCCCACTTGAGAAAAGGCATCAGTGCATCCTTGGTGTGCGAGAGAGAGCTGGGCCACCTCCATACCTGCCTGTGTCACCACCCACAGCCACCTGCAAGCTGGCGGGTGTCACGGGCAGTGCGGCCTCCCCCAGAGCCTGGTGAGGACAGTTAGGGGTGGAGAGCAGAATGCCCACCCGCAAAGTAAGTGTTCCCCCAGAGAGCACCATGCGTGCAAGGGGTCCTCCCAGAAGTAGTGAGAACAGTGGATGTGGGTGACTCCCACGGCCAGACCAGAGGCCACCTCCCCTAGCTCGGCCCACACACCCAGTTGGGGTCACTCTTCTGTCACGCATGCTGGGTGCTCATGTCAGGGTGCTGGTGGAGGGGAGGTGGCACGTCCAGTCGTCAATCAGCCACATGAGGCCAACCCTGGTCAACACAGTGGGTCACTCGTCCATCCCCCACGTAGGACAGCAGTGTAATGTTCCTGACACCTGGATGCCCCAGGCCAGGCACCTGCAAGGATGAGAAACACACATAAACCAATGCCCTCCACCCCAAGTGTCACACGACTGCACCCACACTCCCCCACCAGAAAAACACGTCCCAAGAATCACAGCCGCACGTCCTCGACACTTGCAGATTCGCTCTGCTGCTAACTCAGCAGTCGTAAGCATAACCACCTGTCTTGGGAGGCTCAGCGTGGGGGAGGCTGGGGCCCATGGCCCCCACTTTCCCAGAGCCCTCAGCCTTTTTCTCCCCTGGCACCTACACCTGGTTGGCAGAGCCAAAGCACTCCCCGCCCACAGCAGTGCTCAGGGATGGACACGGCCTGTTCCCACCCCAGGTCGTGCATGGCCCGTGCCCTTGGTTGGCCTGGGCTCTGAGAGTCTCCTTTTCTGAGCAGCCGGCTCTCACTGAACCAGACAGACAGCTTCTCCGGGGGGATGGGGGGACAGCAGGGGAAAGGCTGGACCCAGCCCTCCCTGCTGTGTGACTGGGTTCATCACGTGGCCATTGTGGCTTCAGCTTGTCCCCGTGTAAAATGTGGACAGTGTGGTCTCCCTGCCTGGCTCACAGGTGTGAGGGCACGTGGCAGCACTCGCACCCGTGTGGGGACACCATCACAAGGGGAGACCACAGACAGCAGTGGTGGTGTGTTGCAGTCCATGCGGTGGCCGGATGCAGGGCCCACAGATCACAGATCAAGGTCCCAGTGGTCTGCAGTGGTTCCCACCTCATCCTGTGCCTCTGTAATGTGCTTCATTCGGCTCCTTGTGAACACACACGGGCGTCGCGGACATCTTCACCACAGGCTAACAGCTCATCCCGGGCGCATGAGGCTTCTGGGAGTCACAGAAGCAATGGCGGGTCACTCCTGATGTGCCAGGGAGCAGCAAGCTGGACGCAGCTTTGCCCAGGAGTGGTGGGGGTCTTGGTGCTCTACTGTTTCCGGCATGTGCTCCTTGAAGTAAGGAAGGCCATGTGACTTTCTTTAGCTAAAAGTGAGGAGAGAAGCCCTTTGAGTCCATGAGCAAGTCTAGTCTTGAAGCCCTTCCCCATGTGGTGCAAATCTGGGGTCTGGATCCCAGCTCTCCCAGCCTGGGACCAGCCCCCATCCCCTCGGCCCTTGGCAAGCTGCAGTGAGTAGGGCCCTGCTGACCAGCAGGAAATGAGCCTGGGAAAGTTTAAGACACAGAGAGTTGCCAGTGTGGCCCAGCCACTCCTGGTCTGGGGTACCAGGTATCTGAAGAGCTCTTAAATTGGAAGAGAAAGAGCCTCGGGAAGATGGCTCAGGACAGCAATTCAGCTGTAGGACCTCAGGGCGCGCACTCTTATTCATGTCTCTCCTTCCACTGGGTGTGAGTTAGAAGCCCCCAGTGACAGGAAGCCAAGGGAAAAGTTGGAGCTGCCACCAGGACACACCTGGGGGCTGGGGGCACACAGAACCGTGTCGTCTGGTTCTGTCCTGTCCCTTAACGTCCCTGGCCAGTGCCACGCTCCACAGACAGTCCCTAAGCTCCTGAAAACAGGCGGGAGGTGTTGCCCTGGAGCACAGCGAGGAGGGACGAGGGGCAAGCCCGCCGGTCACTGCCACGGGCTTCTCTGGCCTCACTAGGGCCTGTTCGCAGCCCCATAGGTGATCTGGGCCCTACAGGTGTGGCCGGCAGGGTGGGAGGGCGGCCTTCTTGGACTCGCAGGTGACCCCAAGATGGGGCCATCTGTTTTTTCTTGGTCTGGAACTTAAGGCGTTTTTGTAGGTTCGGTAACTGTGAGCAGGACAGTCACTGGGGAGGGGCACCAGGGAGACGAAACGCAGGGCTGAGCGCCGGCCGGAGCATGTGCGCGAGCGGCCCTGTGCGCAAGCGCGAAGGCCTCTGCGCGCGGGCCTCTTTGTTGCAACCATACTAAGTGGTGTCCTGAGAGTTCGTTCGCCAGATGGCCGCGCCCCGTGCCCGCGCCGGCTCGGGGGAGCCAAGGAGGCGTCCGCCGCTCCTCGCGCCACCCCAGGATTGGGCGCCCTGGCAGGGAGAGCCGGGCACATGCCGCGGTGACCGGCAGTAACCCCGGCCACGGCACCCTGGGCCGGGTCAACGCCCGCGCTCGCCGCACCGCGGCCCGCGCAGCGTGGGAGGCCCCAGCAGCCCGGCCCATCACCCTATCGCCTAGCAACGCCCACTCGCGCACCGCCATTGGGCCGGCGCGCACGCCCCCGAACTGCGACTGGCCGCGGCGGCGGGACGAGCCACGCCCCCAGCCCGGCTCCGCGCGGCCCGGACGCGGGTCTCTCGGCCCGCGCGCCCGGGGGTCCGGCCCCCCCCAGTGTGGCCCCCGTGTGACTCCCAGAGTGCCCCCATAGTGGCCGAAGCACGGCCCGTCCCGTTTCACCCCCGCACCGCACACACGTGGCCTCCGCAGCCTCGATGTTGGGGGCGGGGTGGGGCGGAGGCGCGTGCGCGTGCGCCCCGGGCGATTCCGCGTCCAGAACCACGGGGGTGGGAAACGGAAGTCGGGGGGCAGGGGTGATGCCCCGCCCCGGCACCCTCGAGTCTCGGGCCCCCCCGCCTGGCCGAGGCCCCCCTGGGCGCGCCCCCGCGTAGAGTCTCGGCGCTCGGCGGCGGCGCGCGGCATCACCCCACTGGCGGCGGCGCGCCGGGTCCCTGGGCGCAGCCCCGAAGCTCATTGGCCTGGGCGGCGCAGCCAAGCTGTCAGCCCATGTGGCGTGTCCGCGCGGGGCGGCCGTGGTTAAATAGAGTCGGCGCCGGCCTAGAGGGAGCCAGAGAGACGGCAGCGGCCCGGCCTTTCTCCGCTGCCGCGCTGCATCCTCGCTCTCCCACCGCCCGCGCCCAGACCAGGTGCCAGCGGCGGGGCCGGGGGCCGGGGGTTGGGGGTCGGGGGTCGGGGGTCGGGGCCTGGGCTCGGGCTGGGGCGACGCGGCTAGGCTCGGGGGCGCCGCCGGCCCGCATCCTCCGGCCTCCAGGCGTATGGTCTAGCGCACCCGTGGTGAGAGGCTCGCCCCGCGTGGCTTGCCCGGCTCTCGGGATTTGAGCCTCTGATCTGGCTCTGCAAGCCCCCGCGGGGAGCCCGGGGCCGGGCGGTGAAGAGGCCGCGTGCTGCGCCCCAGACCGGCGGGGCAGGTGGGCGGATGGCGAGGGGCGGGCGCTCCGGAGCCCCGCGAACAGCCATTTTGGTCTCGGGTGGGCCGGTCGGCCGCGGACCCCAGAGAGCCGGTAGGAGCCCCCAGCCGCCCGGTGCGCGCCCGGCCAACCGGAGCCCACAAAGAACTCCATGTGGCCGGCCCCCCCCACCCCGCCACCGCGGATGCCAGATAGCCGGGGCCCAGCCCGACTCGGGGCGTCTATTCAGCCAACCGGAGGGCCGAGAAAAAGGGAGAGGTGGTCGGAAGAGGCCCGGGGCCGGGTGAAGACCGGCTTCCCCAGCACATGGGCGCCGCCCGGAGCCCCGAAGTTCTGAGAGGCGAGCGGTGCAGCCCCGCGGCGGCGCGGGCCAAGACCGTGCGCTGTGGGGGTCTCCACCCCCTGCCTCGGCTCCACTGGACTCCGCGTGAATAGCAAGTAGGGAAGAACGGAGCGGGCGCTCTCTGGAGGAAGCAGCCGCCCGGCGCTGGTGCCGCTGGGCCGGCAAAGGGTTCTTTATTCATCGCTGGGGAGTGGGGCTCCCTCCCTGACGGCACAGAGGGGACAGTCGGCCACCCAAGGAAGACGCTGCCCTCCACTCGCTCACGCCCTTGCTCAGAGAGACCCGGGAGGGCTAGGTCCGCGGTCCACCGGTTATTAGGTGCACGTGTCCACAAGTTCAGGGGGACCGGAGCCCCACTTTGCGCTCCTTCTCACCCTCATGCTTGCCTCCGCTTGAACCCAGGCCCCTTTCTCGCTTGCCTGCTTGATTTCCTGGGCCAGCTCTTAACAGACTGCAGGCCATGTGGCCCCGACCTGGGAAGGATTTGGGGCGTTCTCTAGGATGGCCCTGCCTGTTTCCCACTGTGAGTCCCCCTCCCGGGAGCATCGCAGCAGGAGGATGCAGAGGCCCATGACAGCTGAGGGGGGCCACCGGGCCACAGTGGAGCGGCTCCCACTACTACAGACACAGACACAGACACATACCTGGGGCATCCATTTGAGCTGGTGCAGGGCCCAGAAGCTGACTTCCTGGATCTTGATCACATGGTTTTC